CCGTTCAGATGTAATTGGCTCAATTGTTAATCTGTCCATAACTCTCACCTTCTTCCATCCGCAGCCACGCAGAGCGTTCGAGCCTGTAGACCTCTCCCTCTGGACGCACGTGGCTCAGAGGCTGTAGATGAGTCACTGGTGTGTGTTAACTGAAGACACATTCACACAAGGGAGCACAAAGCACCTAATTACCCCACCACCGTAGCTGAACTGAAGACTGCTACTACACTCAACACAACAGTTGTGTGCTGACAGTACTGCTTGACTGAGGGACCTTGCACAATTGTAAATTGCGTTGGTGTGTGTGTAACTTTTGTCTACTCCCTCACTCACCTATAAACAATCCCGTGCGTGCAGTGCGGCGATTGGGAGACGAGCACACTTCACCTGTCAGCACTCATCATAATTGTTGGTGGTTGGCTGTAATTTGACAGCAATTGTCATGTCTGGAATGACTTCCCGGCTAATCGCAGAGTCTCCTTGCAACAGAGGGCGCTTACTGCAGCGGCCTGGAGAGACATGCCTCCGCCATTCAGCGAGCCTGTGAGGATTGTTGTCGCTTGCAAACCTCCACGGGCTTGTCAATCTGCCCATTATTGAGAAAAAAGAGCTGCATTCTGCTTGTAGTAGCAGCGAACAAAAGCCTGTCCTGGTTAAAGGACAGGAGAGAGTTAAGCGGGCAACAAATTTCTGCTGATCCCAGACGCTGACATTTTGCATTTTGCCAGCACAGACAGCTTCCTTACAACAAAAGGAACCATAGCTGGAAGGCACCGAGCTGTAATAACATGTAAATATTATGAACCTGCAGAGCTCCCTGTAATTGTAGACACGTTCAGCACATTTCTGAAAGATGCAGCATTCATTATATCCAGCACGAGGTGTATGCACAACAGTTTAGCCCTATTATAAAAGCACTAACCATCCTTCGTTTATAGCATTCATGGGTGATGATACGTAATTATCAGGGGAAAGGCAGCGCTAGGTATTAATTTAAAGTTGCCTGGGGCGAAATTTGGAGAACACACAGCCGCAGAGAAACCCAAGGTGTTTGTCTCGCTCTGCAAATCTCTCCAGGGAGAGGAGAAGCTGGAGCAGCTCTGCAGGGAGCAAAGAACCTCCATCTCAGAGGCACGCCGAAGAGAAGTTTCAAAGAGAAACTCGCAAGAATAGATGGCAGGTTTTATCTTCCTGCTCCACTCCTATATCTGCTCTGTTGTGTTCAGCAGCTTATGGGGGATTTCCACCTGACAGCTTCAAATACTCCAGGTTGTTTTTAATGGCACGATGAGTGAAGTTTAATTTTTTGACTTGTGCTGTCCTCAGAGGAGGACTATTGCCTCAGCTGAACGGGAAGTTGACTGCTAGTTTCAAATGCTTTGTATGCTGAAGAGGAGTACAAGACAGAACGAGATCAGGGAAATGAAGGTGTGTGTGTTTGCACGCGTACGTGTATTCTTGGAAGAGACACACTGTATATTCCTGCAGATTTGAGCATTGTTTTATTATAACCACTGCAGGAAGGCGTAGCGCTGCAGGGTTCAAGCACTGTGCTAACAATATAGAGTAGAATTACTCCGCTGTTTAAAACACTCATCTGTTGTCGCACTTTGTGGCAAATTTCGTTTGACTGCAAAGTAAATAGTCGGGGAAGAAACATGCTTTTATACTGGTAAATAAAGAATTACATTTGATTAAATTTGACAGCTTTATAAATCCACAAGGAGAAAACGACTTGGGTCGCATAGCAACAAATAACATAAGAAACAAAAAGGTCAATAAGTGATGCACCTACAACAACACCAATAAAGCAGGCAATACATATGAAATGAAACATTTTAAACAGTTGTAACAACACAACCCATATCTCAAAAAACAAGCAAATATCCCATGTCAAAAGATCTAAATTGTTTCGTGGAGTGTCAATAACGAGTCACTTAATCCACCTTTTAAACTACTATACACATCAGAGGATAACCTTCAAACTGAGGTTAAACTCTCCTTTCGTTCCTTTCTAATAAATCTATAATGCGTTGTAGAAGAAATCTTTTAAATAATCTTCTTAGTTAGTTGGCAGTTAGTTTGGTTAATGGGGTACGTACAAGGCGTTGGGGCGATACAGCTGAAAAATGTATCCTGATAAAATCTTTTCATTTCTTTGATCATTATTGATCATTTTTAATGTTAATGTTTTGTCATATGGTAATGTTGCTCAGTACCTCTCCTTCATGGACTGCCTGCGGGTTGTTTCATGAGCTGGGAGTTGTGACTGGCATGTTGTAGTCTATTTTATTTATTTTATTTTACCTTTATTTACCAGATAAGTCAATTGACAACAAGTTCTCATTTAAAATGATGACCTGGCCAAGAGGCAGCTTATGTTTGGGTTTATATTCATATTTGGAAACTTTAGATAACATTTTCCACCCCAGAGAGAAACAAACTATTGGCAGGAAACACTTTGGGGAATAATGCTGAATGGTGAAATCCATCCGTATTTGAGCCAGAGAACAGTCAAGAGGAGCCGTGGGAGAAGGAAACATTGAGATGAGCAGCATTCAGGCAGACGAGAGAAAGTGCCAGCACCACATGGGAATACAAAATAACCTTAGAAGGCACATATGAAGGTGCACATAAAAAAAGTTGGTGGAGTGGCATCACAGCCAAGAGGGGTCAGATTTCAGAACACAAACTTTGCAGTGTACATTTTTTTAACTGTAGATGAACCACCTGTAGATAGATACAAAACGCATCTTCTCTGCCAATAGTGGGTGTTTTTTTGTTTTTGTTTTTTTTTGTTTTGAAGAAGTGTTGGTTCTATAAATACAAGTAACATTCAAGATGTATATACACTTGCATCCAACAATGATGTGTGTAGCATACAGTTTGAGTTTAGAGTTTAAACCAGAGCTTGGCACCCGAGCGACCAGCAGCTGGAAAGCTAGCAGCAGCTGCT